AAAAATGTAACCTTATGAAATCACCAGATTTGTCTTTGTCTTTCTATTCAACATTTAAGCCAATAATGGCACAACTTATTATGAAATTAAGCCGCTGGAGGCCAAATTCCTGAGTTGCGAGTTACGAGTGAATAATAGCGGCGAAAGGACGCGAACAGCGACGAGAGGAAACCCGCAGAGCTGGACAGAAGACTCAACTAAGGAACTGGATACGACTACTCAGGTTGAATCGTGTGGAAGACTTAATTTTTGAATAACTGTAATTGTAATTATAATCAACTTATCTAATAAATCGATCCATCTAATCCGGAACCCATTAACTTCTTGCCGCGTTACGTACCAGGATACATTATAATATGAAACAGTATTTCGTCGGTAAGCTGGGTCATTCAGTATGGACATCCCTTAGAGAACACGGTGTTTTGAAACACGGTTTTCATTCGATACATTAAACAGGTTCACAGGTTTTATATACCACGCCCTAAACATGGACATTAGAAAAGATATGAAAGGTACGGCACGGTAAAAGTGAAAACGAATCAGCAAACCCCTAAACCAAGCTCAGATTACAATAAGTAATATATTTTCCAAACAAGTTCTTTATCATTTTCATTCATTGACCTAGATGTCCATTTCTTACGTTTTTTTCCTTGGCACTCCAGCCCCACTGGGCCTAGGCCTACCTCCATGAACTTCTCCGTTCACTTCGGATTTTGTAGATCTTACACATTCGGTAGGACCCCTTGGGCGGGTGATCAGCTCGTCGCAAGGCCTCTACCTGTACACAAACACAGAAAAACGCACACACACACAAACTAAACATCCATGCCCTGAGTGGGATTCGAACCCACGATCGCGGTTTCCAAGCGAGCGAAGACAGTACATGCCCTAGACCGCTCGGCTACCGTGACCGGCATTTATGACGTATGTAGGACTGGTATTGCAGACCCATTCTTATCATGTAGGCCTGCAAGGACGCAGAAATTTTGTTCATTTCTATTTCGTTAGATATTCATCTTGTTGAAATGTGTTTCAAATATAAATTAATCCCAACTAACTTGCAATTCTAAAATTCTTTCACTTAAATACTTTCCTTTTTTCTTTTGTACCGAGTTTAGGATTTAATTTCAGAATTTTCTTTATATCAAAATTTGCCTGTATTATTTACTTTAACCACAGTGTTAGCTAGGAATTTAGTTCTATATTTCGCGTTCCAGACTTAGGATTTCTTGTTTTTCGTGAAGCAAATTTAGGAGTTTGGTCCTTTCCTCTTCCTTGTAATGTAGAGTTAGAAGTTAAGTTCCATTTTGTTCTTTATGCCTTAGAGTTAACTAGGATTTTAATTTTGTACCGCTCTCTGTAATATATATTTTAATTTTGGTTTTGTTTTTTGACCTAAGAGTTAACTTGTAATTCAAGGTAATTGTGTTCATGGCAACGGAGTGTTAGGATTTCATTCCTGTGGCTGACAAACCGAAGCATTGTGTAATACATGGATACTGGCGAGCCATCAACAGTCCGTATCTTAGATTCTCCAATTACAGGTACAGTTACATACGTGGGAGAGTTCAGTTCTGCGACTGAAAATCTTTACTTGTGGATCGTTTCTCTTTTTCGTCTGGTTAATTTCACGGCCATCTCAACGTTCATTACAACTTCAGGACTGCAAACATTCTTCGAAAAAGAGAATGAATATAAGATCTGGGACTGTCACGCTATACCTAATTCGCTCTCTTCCATTGATATAGCTTAGGAAATGTAGGTGAGAGTAATTTTTCTCACCACACATAGACCGACTAAATTCCACTGTAAAGGACTTTCTTTGGACAGTTGGTGGTCATTAAACCACTCAAATAATTTATGTTTTTGTGGAACTCCACATTTGTCATCGTTTTCAAAAGCGTCTGCCATTATACCCTATCCTGAATCAGTTATGTCCGTTTCATATCTTCACGAAATATTTTTCAACTCATATGAGGCTTGGGATTACAAGACTGTTTCGAATCCAAGGTTAAAATCAGAACTAGTACTCCTGCTTTTTGAAAGGTCTGCCTGTTCTGCTGCCTTTTGATATAGATCCATACTCGTAAAATCTTTTAACAAAGTACTTCATTCTTTTCAGGCAGTGGAACAAGTTCGTTTCATTTCAACTGTTGTGTCTAGGATGTTAAATATATTTGGCTCTTGTCTGATTACTTAGTTTATGAGAGGGCATTGCCCTCTACATCCTGCAACGTATCTTAGGATGATCACTCCAAGTGCCTAAATTATGCCCTCCAATTGTTTATCAACGCAAAAATATAAAATTGTAATCATACAGATTGTATTTTTGCTATGTCACAGCCGACTGAAAAACTGATATTAATATATTGATATTTAGAGCTTCCGTTGACTATGCAAAAGTCTTTAACACGATTAATCTAAATAACCTCTGAGAGATAAAGGAAGAAAAGCCGTTTTCAAAACACCATACGAAGGCTACAAGAACCCTAATACAGATACCGCAACACAAACAGAAAGTTCGAGAAAGGAAAGCGAAACCCAAATAATAATTGACCAAAGATAGGACCACCCTGTACCACCGGCACAATTCAAAATTCATACTGTGACATGACGCCTGAAAGCTGGAATAGGAGAGCCAAATTATTAGGAAACGATGGTTACTGTTGGGACCGCCCTGGGGCTATATAACGAGAGAATCGAGGGAGTCTCTGGAGAGAGTTCAAGTGACTAGCCTGCCGTGGTAGCAAATACTACTAGAAATAGAGCATAGTCTGCTGTACTAAGCCTAGACTGACAGAGGCCTTGTATATATTATACATACTAGATATTAACACTCAATTGTAATAAAGTGTACATAGTGACAAAGGACTAATACTACCGAATATGACTGTCAAATGACAGATCCGACCTCTCGCACGAGAGGGCGCCCCACATGGACAGGACAGTAACTTTCATTTAAAAATTAACATCTGGTCATGAGCCCCAGCCGGGGCTCGACACCAAGACAGACAGACTGACTGACCGTCAGTCGCAATGTGACTTTGACTTTGAGTCTCTGGAGAGGCCCGTATGGAGGTGCGTTCGAAAACCTCCACCGTGACCCTGCGAGTCGTAGGAGCCGACGAAAAGGGAAGTCTTAAATTTGAGACAGTAATGTATGGTCTCGAGTACCAAGGGTCTCGGACCCGAGAAAGACTGCGCTGGCAACGACCAGCAGCATATACAAAAGACAGACCCGTATTCTCGTCAGAGAGGGCACCCACAAAAAACAAGACCGTAACTGTCAAACAGTAATAAAGATCTGGTCGCAAGCCCCAGATGAGTGCTTTATGCCAAGACAGACTGGCCAACTGACCGTCGGTCGTAAAATGAGACTCAGTCTCTGGAGACGGCTGGTGAAGATGGAGAAGAGAAGTCATAGTCTCTCATACAGTGATTTGTGAAGTGTAGTAACAAGTTGTATAAGTGTGCAATAAGTCCGGTCATCAAAACCCGTCTATAAGTCACGCACACCCCCAAGTACGTGACAATGTTAATGGCTTAGTATACAAGTGGCAAGAAGCCTGGCGTTGCTTCAGTAACGACTCTGCTATTTGCGAACAACCATGTAATTCGAGAAAAATCAGATTATTTTCTACTTCCCGAAAACATGTTTTAATATCACTGCGCTTTTCGGTTCATTCATAGGTCTCCTATGCATTTTCTTTCCACCTTCTCTTTACCCCAAACCTTCTTTTTTTCCTGAATGCCTGCTACATATTCCACTTATGCTCAATCGGTTAGTCGCTGGCTTCCTACCGCGGCGGCCCGGGTTCGATCCCGGGTCTGGTCAAGTGGGATTTGTGGTGGACAAAGTGGCGCTGGGCAGGTTTTCTCCGAGTACTTCGGTTTTCCCTGCCTATCTTCATTTCACCAATTGCTCTACAATCACCCTCACCTATCGTCTGGGGCTGGTACAATAGTCCAGAAGTGGCCACAGTACAAGGCACTTAGTCCCACTCCACTAGCAATAAAAAAATATTCCACATATTATTATTAGCTGCCAAGCACATATTTTGTAGCTGCAGTTGGCAACATACCAGTTTAGCAGTCCGGATATACTAGCCTCAGGCACAACCTCGAAGCTGAATTTGCCTTATACATTACTACACACGAGAAATCCACAAGCGAACTTATGGACACATTTCACATCCCAGAAGGGATTCACAAACAAAAGCTGCAGTATCACTACTGTGAAACGTTGGCACTTTTCAAGAATATTGCTTTTCTTTTTCTTTGTCTTCTTGTTCAACCTGTACGGATTACGCCCTTTGGTCATTTCTAAATCATAATTAATTTCTAAATCATGAATTAAATAGACAACCGGTACGATTCCTTGGACGGGGGGATCGGCCCATCGCAAAAAAGAACTCGGACATCATGCACCTTGTTTGATTCGAGTCTACGACCCCAATTTTCGAGCTGCAGAAGAAAGTCTCGTTGGAGCTGCTGACCATCGCAGTAGCCAATTGCAATTGAGTGTAGCGGTCAACCACCACGTTCATATAGGTTCGTTGGCACGGTCGCTTGGTTAGGTATATACGACTATGCATGTATAAACACATAATCACAGTACATTCAGATTCTAACAATTTCTGACGATGGTGTATAACACTCAGAATCATTGGGATTTTTGGACTTTGTCCATCGTCCGGTATTCTAGAAACCGGAAAACACACCGTTTCAGAAACTGGATTTGTTTCCGTCCTCGGGTGAAGGGGGTGGGGACACCCACTTTTTCGAGTCCCTTAGAAAGATCTAACCTCTATCATAACCCTCTCACCTGAGGACGGAAAGAGATCCAGTTTCCGAAACGTTGTGTTCTCTAGTTTATAGAATACGGGACGATGGACAAAGTCCAAAACCCAGTAATTCTGAGTATTACATATATACTGTTTGCTGAGAAATATATTAAATATTTACAAAAGCAGCAAACAATTCAAACGTGTTGTACTTACTATCTGTTCCTTGTTGCGGCTACAGCCTATCATATTTTCTTTCATTTGAACACTTCCGAAGAATTAACTTTTATCATCACAAAAACGCACCATAACTGTTAATAACTTTCAATTGATTTATCACCTCTTTCTGTAACCTGGGGAGGCAAAGCAATAGTGCGCAATGCTACGAGCTTGTAGTAACCAACGCAGCTCAGGGGTTGTGCTCAGACTGCTCCAAGGGCAACCTAACCGCGCACGCTAGCGGTTGACACTCAACCGCTGCTGCCAGGCAACTTGAACGGAACGGCTTGCGGTGCATACTCGTACCGCACCTGAGGAGGTACCGACTGCCCACCGCTGATGTCAAATGGGGCAATCAACAGTCCCAACGAAACCATACGTTTACACCGTGTGGGTATCGCAGACGGCAAGAGGTTGTTTTTATACCCATAAATAAAATGATTTAATATCTTCAGTCACTACTATGACCGACAGCGACATCTTCCAAATACGTTTGTTTTCTTTTCGCTGCTAGGCGAACTGATCATTGATTGTATTTTCCATCCCGTCGTCCTGTTACGCCGTATTCGTAAAAATGGAACGTCACACGAACATTCACTTATTATGTGCCTCTATTCTGTGTTGAGAAAGTGATGATTGTTGGTTCCAAAAGTGGATTAAGAACATATAACATACTATCAACCTGTTTCTCAGAAACCTCCCAAGGTTTCCTTCATTATTCATTCACACTAAAGGCCTGAAAATATTTACGGTAGAAATACGCTACAGTAAAGTGAATATAAGCGCATAAAATATTCGGAATTTAAGATTCCAAATCAACAGAGATACTCATTTGAGCCCTATTAGAGAACGCTGTCTGTACACGGCCGAAATTTAGGGGGAGTGACCAGGGCGGTGGCCCCGAGGCCTTCATAGAATAGAAATATAGAATCCATAGATTTTACTGAGCGATTTTCTTCTCTAAAATCACGGAAAGTCTGTATTTCTAGTTATTAAGACCTAAGGAGAAAAAATTGTAACCTTAATTTGTTGTTGCTGAACCTCCACATTTTGACTGCTTCGGGCCCCCCGCCTCCAACCGTAAATCCGGCGCTGTGTCTATCCATCCTCTCACACAATTTGGCTATCTTCCGTCAAGCACTAGTCGCTATTCAAGTGCGCAATATATTACAGAACTTCGCAGCTGAGTGGTTAATATTCAGTTTTATTCAGAAAGTCTTCGTTTCAAATCTAGTCCAAAAACCGACAATTCCATGTTTCCCCATTTGCCCCAGTGTTTACAAAAATGCTATATAGTCTTAAACTAGGCCTCGGTTACTTTCTTTCACCTCATTTCTAGCCCACAGTTTGCTACTATCCGTTCAATAAACCTACATAATTTACGTCGTTGAAAACGCGTCATTAAATAACCAAAGAATTAGCCAATCATACTATATCGATATTAGGTTCTCTGTACCAGTTGTAACGGTCATATGTCTCTTTACTCCTACAATCAATTGAAATTGAAGCACCAAAATAAAGTAAGTGTATTTTGTGTTGAAACATCATGAAATCAAGCAATACACGAATAAAAAACTTCATCTTAATCAATCCTTTCGGCAGCTAACTGAAATATGTAATGTAAATCAAAGAGTTTCGCATGCCCAAGGATCCCTACCGAATGTGTAAGATCTAGAAAAACCGAAGTGAACGGAGAAGTTCATGGAGGTAGGCCTAGGCCCACTGGGGCTGTAGTGCCAAGAAGAAGAAGAAATCAAAAAGGTATTTCAGTGCAACTGGCTTTTCAGCAATTGACCGTTTTATACACCATGCCTAAAATGCCTAACTCTATATGAACTTATTCCTCCTTGAGAAGCTAATGGAAGCTCAACTTCTCAAAAAAATTCCCACCTTTTAAGGGACGAGAAAGGTCATTACCGTGTTCACACAAACCCGCCACTTGTCTCAAACTTTTTTTTTATTTCTCCAATTTATTATACAATCTATCCAGCTGTTATGGATAATAAGTACTAGTTATGATGAGTATAAATATAAATGTAATTTAACATGAAGAACGTGTTCCAATGAACTCGTTCTATATGTAATTTAACTAATTACAGTCAATTAGTTTACAAAATTAAATAGCAAGTCTTTACAAAATTAGATAGCAAATCTGGTTAACAGTTCTGACGGTTTGAATCTGTGAAGCCTCCTGACTTCTTCTTCATCGTAGAGGTCTCAAACTTGAGAGACATTAATCCAGCCCACATTCCCCCAGCATCTACAATAAATAAGATAATGAAATCATATCTTGACCCATCTAGAACCAGCTATGAATGCAGGCAGTGTGCCTTTACCTTGTTTTGGAATTCCATTCATTACATATACTTTAAATTAATAAATATAAATTTCTTATGAACAAACATATATTTAATAAAGATTAAGAGGTAAAGGAAACTCCGTTTCCATGCTGTTGCACCAAGTGGTGAAGTTGCATAGGAGAGTGAAATTAAAGCTCCATGTTCCAGTCGCTTTAACCCCCCCCCCCCAAGTTCCTATGTACCCAAGAGTTGGCACGGACGTGACGACAAATAGCAAAACCATGCCATGGAAGCCCAAGGGTCCTGTCCCTAACTTCCTTCTTTATATGTATAATTATATATTTTTTTCTTCACATGTCAGACCCACAATGATGTCAAGTGTGTAAACTTCATGCTAAGGTAATCAGTATAAGTGACATATTTAAGCCTTGATGAGCAAGCACATGGAATTTGTTTAAATGATAGTGCTACTCATGTGTTTTAAAAGAAGTCTTTAATGTGGTTGAGCGTCCCATCCAGCTTACAGTATGCTTACTTAAGAAAGAACTGTGTGACGATTAATGATGCATTCAACCGGAATGAGTTCTCCAAAGATAAAGGAGCGGCATAAGAGGGAGGTCTGTAATAAGAGATGTCCTAAGGGGAACACAAGGAAAAGAGCGGCTACTCAAAGTCTACTGCAGACAAGGTTAGGGAGGACTTCAATATTAATGACTTATGCAACAGTCTTCAAACGTTCCTCTTGGCAATGATGATTATCTAGCAAACATTATTTTTTGCAACAAAAATAGCAACGGAACCATAAACATCAGAATCATGTTTAACAATGAACGTTTTAGAGAGGATATTCTCTGTCGAAAAATAATGAATACAGAATTACGCAACATGTTACAACAGACACGCGCGTGTTGGTACATTTAAAACTGTAAGTCACACGTTCTGCGTTTTGTGCAGTACTTACTTCTTATAACTTTATAATTTAACTCTAGACAAGCAGGCAATAGTCAACTATGTCTAGTTTGAGTAGCTTGTCTGAATCAATAAATTATACTATGACGTGGTGCCTGAAAGCCGGACTATAAGACATCCATCACTAGTCAACAGCTAGCAATTCCTAGGCAGCGATGCCTAGGAAATCGTTGACCAGGAGATGAGAGTCTTAACAGTGGAGTTTCCACCGTTATTTGTAACGAAAGGTATTCCTGTGGCAACAAGAGATTCATTGCATAGCAGTGAGCGAAATTAACCCTTCGACAAGGTGTTCCCTAGTCAGTCTGAGTGTAGGATATAACAGTTGTATCAGACAGGAGACCAGTTTAGTTTAGCTTCGACGAGAGTGAAGGACAGTTGAGCTCTGAGCAGAAGACACTTCACCGAGATTAACTGTGTAAGAGTGTAACATTGAAGAGGAAACGTCCAAAGACGTTATAAGTGTGAATAATTGTATTTGTGAGCGTAGAGAGTGATCGTCCAATAGATATTCTTCCAAATCTGAAACCCCATACAATGTCCAAGGTGCAACAATGGCAGCATTATGCAATTGCACAGGACTTTTTGGACCAGTACCAGAGGGAAGGTGCTGACTTCCTTGGAAGGATCTTCACTCTGGATGAAACTTGGGCTCGTTCACACGAACCGCGCTTGTAGTGACAATCAAATGAATGGAAGCATCCTGGCTCTCCTCGTCCAAAGAAAGTGCGCCCTGCACAGAGTAATGTGAAGGCGATGTTCATTGTGGCATATGACACTGATGGAGTGATACTGCACCACACTGTACCTCAACGACAGACAATAAACGCTGCCTACTACTGCAATTTCCTGCATAATCATCTTCATCCAGCACTCAGGAGAAAGCGACAACACTTGTTGGCAACAAACCCCATCGTCCTTCATGACAATGCAAGGGCTCATACTGCTGATGCTGCCAAGGATCTCCTTCACTGCTGGCGATGGGAGACAGTGCAACATCCGCCATACTCACCTGATATATGTCTGTGCAATTGTGATCTCTTTGCCAAAATGAAAGAACCACTGTGAGGCACACGTTAAAACACAAAAGAGGAGATTATTTGTGCTGTAGGGAGGTCGCTGCTGGACATCAACAGAAGTGGACGCACTGATGGTGTATGACGCCTTCCACAAATGTGGCAGAAGGTGGTACACATGGGGGGCGATTATATTGAAGGAATGTGTTTACCTCAGGTAATAAAGTTATTTCAGAACTACAGAGTCGTTGCCACTACTTTTTATCCAACCTATGTATTATTTGAATCTTGAGATAAAAGCCACCAGGGATTCAGTGATAACATTTCATAAAAAAACTTTTTTGTCCTGAATACATTCATTTATGCATAAGTTATTATTTTATTTGACAACCCTCATTTAGAGGAATTATTTAGAGTTAAATTAGACAAAAAGTGATCATGGACAATGGGCTGGTAAGGTCTTGGAAGAAAGTGATCATGGCGTATTTGATCACAATGTTATAGCACTCATCTGGAGGAACTGAGAGGAATCATGAAAACATTATAGCAGACAACCCAGCAAAGATTTCAACCAGGTACATTACCATACATGAACCTGCCCAATTGATGAATGTTATGTGGCAAAGTAAATAAAAAGGCAAGCTATTTTGTTTAGTGATTTCAGTGACCTGTCACATTAATTTTGTGTTGCAGGTATTCAGGGACTGTGTGAAGGCGGTGTGAACCCACCCTGGCTACTATACTTGTGCATAGCATTTGGAATCATGTTCCTCATTATGCTCATTATCAACATCTTCCTCTGCTCTGCAATGACATGTTCCTGTGCTAGGACTGAAGTCATAGAGAAGGAACCCAGCATAATAGAGGATTATGACCCTTATAGGAGCTGGCATGGCTCTCAGTATGGATCTAGGTAAGAAACCACCATAGAGATAATTTTCATTAGCAGCTCAGAACTTCTAAGAAGCGTGCAATTTATAAGAGATTATATTCAGATTCTTTCAAATATATTAGTCCCATTGTTTATGGTAAAGATTTCTTTTTTTAAGCTTTCAAATTTCTTAGAATCATATTTCTTATAGTTATAGAATAGATCTATGTGTGATAACTTTTGAGACTCTTCACATTTTGGGGCTGACTTCTACAGAGCAGCCATGAAATCCTTTTGTAGCAACTTTACAGCATATATATATGTTGTCTTCCACTCTCCAAACACCATTTGATTCATTTCTGTGTTCTTTTAGACAATTTCTTTGATGTTGAAGGCTGAATATCATAAATCAGCATGTGAAGGCTGTTTTCAGATCTTCAACATTTTCTGTTTGGACTTTCAAAGGGACTCTGTAGCCACTTTGCACAGAGAGAAATGTTTCCTAGCATCCAGTCTTTCTTAATTTAAAGGGATAAGATGGACCCCTTGATTACACTAAAACCATTGTACTGTACCCCGTTTTTACAAATGAGGCTCCATAAACTTGGGTTAAAGCAATATACCTTTGACATCTGTAATGGAAGAAAAGCTACTATATATTTCTGGAAAAGACTCATGTCCTTGTAATAATCACATTTGACATGAAAGAAATTAAGTCAGTTTCATAGTATAAAGGGTATCATAATATGGGACGTGATGCTGTGTATTCCAGTAGATTTCTACAAGACTACATGGCTTCACATTTCAAAACACACTAATCTTTATAGCCACTAATGTGAAATCCCAAAGAGTTTGAGGGTATTTCTTAAGAGTTTTATTTACTTAACCTGCTGGCAGCCACAGATAATCGGACTTCAAGTATTTCTTATTTTACAGTAGTATAGTTGTGCCAATGAATATTGTCAGAATTAATCTGAATAATTATTCATTTTGTAAAAATAATTTTTCTTTTGAAACTTGAATCTGAAGTTAAGCTTGACCAAGAAGATGGCTTCAGTGATACACGGAACAAAATACCATATGAAGAATATGAGGGAAAGTATTATACTGTAGAGAAAAACATATGGCTTTTGCTTTCTTTTCTTTTCTGTTACATATCAGGGATAAATTTGATATGCCCTCATATCCAAATTCCATCTTATTACTAATAACCACTGCAGATGATTTCTTTCCACATTTTCCTGCATCTAATTTTTATGCAAGAGTTTCCAACAGCTGAATTGAATCCTTTCTTCATTATAACCTGAGCCTAGAATATTAATCTCTATATCATAATTTCCCATTCAAGGTCAAGAAAACGTTGGTCTATGCCTTCACTCCCCCTATGTCTTAATGGCATAGTGCTTAATTAGTTAAGCACAGGGACAAATTTACCTTCATCCCGCCCACTTTCTATGCCATAAAGTCTATTGATTAAGTTCTTTAAGTCTATTCAAACTTTGTGCCCAATTTAAATGATCTTCTTGCACCTGTAGAGTCCCTTAATTCTACTGAAGAATAAGTTCTCAGGCTTTCTCATCGTCTATTCTGTTAACACAAACCAATATTTTTTCTCTGTAATCATCTTTCCTTTTACTTACAGAATAAATATTTATTTACACTAAAATTCACTTTTAGTCTTGCCTAATTTATTACAGCCTTTCATATTATTTTTCCATTGTAAGAATTTTACGAAGTTTCTGTCCTAAACCCATTATTCACATAAAATAACATAAATTAGTATTTAAATCGAGAATACTGAAAGAACATGAATCACAGTTCTGAGTCATTGCTTACACCTGATCCCCCACCAAATTTCAAAACTCCTAATTGATATGTCAAAAAGATTTATGAAAGAAATACTTTATCAGCAGCCTGTTTCTGCAACAAATAAGTAATCTGTCGACCATCTAATACTGTGTCTGAAAATGTGATTGTATTTACAGGTACTCCCTTAATGGAAAGCCTGGGTACACATCTGGAGGGTCTACCATGAACTCAACAAGATCCATCTCAACCAACAGTGACCATTATGCTATTGTGCATTCACGACCAGGCAGCCGCTACTCAGCACCGGGCTCACATAAGGCTGCCACACTGTCACATCCTCACCACCACCATCAGAATCGTGGTCCACCTTCAAATATTGGGTCACACTATTCTGGAAAATTGTGATCAACAGCTGTAAAATATAAATATGTGTTGTTTGGAGAATGCAGTGATATCTGGCATAATAAAGAAAGATAGTTCAAACCTGTGGTTAAATTCAAAACAATAAAGTGGAAACTGTCCCATAACACACACTATCTGGGATACTCCAAATGCATCATTACTCCAATGTCTTTTGGTTCTTACATTATTTCTTGCATCACTGTAAACTGTTCAGATAATGGCAGGTTCACATAAGATGCAGAAAAACTTCATCACTGTGTGATAAAACTTCCTGTTTCTGTTAGTAGGTAGAAAAGGACTTGACCTCAGAAGTTCAGGATGTAGAAAAATGTGTTTGGAAATGTACCTTGGCCATAAGTGATACAAATGTCAGCATGTAATATATGGCACCCTCATTTCTGTGTTCTGTATAACTGCTGATTAAGGACCTGATCATATATAGAACGTTTCCTAAAAATGATAGGAATATACAGCTTTAGTGACACCCATACTAATAATTTATATCTATTAGCAGTTATTGTTTTCCTTTCTGGACACACCAAGCAGATTTTCCATCAGCTTTAAAAGATAAATAATCCAAAGTTTTGCAACAAGATATACTGTTAATTATTGTTTCTGTTTCTCTAATATTAATCTTGAACTTACGTCTGAGAAGGGTGTTTAAAGGCAATGTAGGAAGAACCATGACTGTTACTATATGCACATTAATTATACTGATAGTTTTCACAATTAACCATTACTTCAGTAATCTCACCAACATATCCCACTGGTCCTTCAGGTCATGAAGCCTTTGACCGGCTTGTCACATGATCCTGGTTTGGAATATCAATGAAAAACCAAACAGTAATAATAATAGAAGTTTTTGTCAATAAGGAACTTAATATTCTTTAAAATCAAGGAATGAAGGACAGAAGTGTAAGAGGTAAAACACATACTAACAATGCAGTTTGGCTTCAAGTTTTTATTGGAAAAGAATGAAAGAAGCTATTAGTGGCAGATGCGAAGAAGTCTGACAAGTGAATATCAGTCTGGCAATTTCTAACAGCACAGATCTGCTTTTGTAATGTCCCATGTAACTAATTCTATTACATAACACAGTGTAACAAATATTATGTATGATTATAGCAGGACAACTTTCTTGGCTGAAACCTTCTTCTCCTTTTGTTTATTACTTATATTTTACTTGATTTAACAATCTTTCCTCAACTATAAGTTATAGTGTCTAATGGGAGAGCTACTCTGAATGATGACTTAAGAAGAATGTGAAACAAAGTGATCATGGCCTATTTTAAGGAAATTTTTCTGAATTTGTCTGGGGGGACTGAGAAAACTATGGAAAACCTGGGAGTATAGCAGTCTCCAACTGGGAATGAAGCCTAAAATCACCAAAATATAAATAGGAGTTCTCAACACATAACTACTTCCTCTTCTGTCGATTAAATTACATGTTCCTGCCTGCCCTCTCTACTAATCCTTCTGTCTCTTCTTCAGAAATCAAACGCTTTTTCCTCATGAGATTTTTTGACATATTCTGACATGTTATGTTAGTCTCGATCTGACTCCCATTCTTCCTTACTTTTAATAATCCATTATTCGTTTTATGATTGTCATGCAGCTGCCTTACATTATACACTTCCTTCTTTGGATTTTCATTCCTATTGTCCCATTTATTTGTTTTCTCTTACGTGTCTCAGGTATTCTGTGATTCAGTATTGAGGGGGTGGGTTTCCCCATGCACCGCAACTGATAGTCTATTGTACATCCCCCTTTCTAATTTCTACCGTCTCCATCCCCTACCGATACTGGTGCTCGCTATCAGCCCCTTTCTGCCAGCGAGGTTTCTACCCTCTACTTGGCAGTGGTATCTAATAGTTAGTCCCTTTCTGTCAGCGAGTTAGTCCCTCCTCTGGCAGTGGTACCTAATACTTTAGCCCCTTTCTGCCAGCAAGGTTTCTACCCCCTACTTGGCAGTGGTATCTAATAATTAGTCCCTTTCTGTCAGCGAGGTCATCCCTCCTCTGGCAGTGGTACCTAATACTTCCCCATCTATCGGAGGCACTGGAAACTATTTGGGCGGGAAACTTTTTGGCCTAATTTAGCTCAGAGGCCTCCTAGAGGCATGAGGTTCTTTTACGTGCTGTAAATCTACGACACGGGACCCACGGCTTAAAGTCCCTCCTGGAGGACTTGTTTCCTGAATTTTTCTGCCATTAAAAATTCAACCACCTCCACCGGGTTTGAACCCGCGTACCTTGAGTCATGAGGTGGGAACGTTACCACTAGACTATGGAGGCCGCTTTTCTCAGGTATAGTTTCATATGTATAGGTTAAAATGAGGAACTATAACGAATGGAAGGAACACAGAGAGAATTAAAAACTGTACTGGAAATTGGTTTTCAGCACAGATGATATGCTTCATATTTGGCTTGGGGGGGTCCAACCAAGAAGGGCTAGTGATTCAGTGTTACTCATGTTAACTACCATTCGGCAGTTAGGGAAACTGGATTTTTATAATCCATGTGGAAGCCCGAATTATGTGGAATCTAGTGTCAGTACACCGTACGTCTTGCTGTGCACATTCCTTCAATTAAAGAATGGATGTGGTTCTGCAAGATTAGGGACATGTATAAACATTCTCTTTCGCTTTAGTGTGTTCTAACAGATTGAGCAGTAATATAAACAAATGAGAACATTTCATGAAGCAAGACCTATGTCCTGTCCCCATTTTGTACATGCAAGAAGTAAAGTTGTGACAGCAATTTACAATGTTCCTGTTTCTGTTTGAGTCAGTTTCTGACATAATGTTAAGGTTTCAAAACACTTTTGGATTAAAACTAAATAAAGTTGATTACATTCGATTTTATCTTTGCTTTAAGAACATTTCCAGATTGGTTGCTATACTCACAGATCATTCGCACCTGGGACCCCTTTTCCCTTGCCTTGTTCGAGTTCCATCTCTGCTCCTTCTAACGGTAAATTACTTCTTTATGAAACATTGTCATTGGCTGTGAATATTGGCAGTAACAAAGCAAGTAAGGTAAATTTCTTCGAGGAATATGGTAAAACAGGAAACGTTAAAAAACTTTCAATAACAGTTTCCTCATATTAGAACTGGTACTTTCCATGTATAGTGAAATGGAAACCATCTATGAGAATGTTCTGATGTTTTTTATCAGTCCTTGAGACATGATTTTGGAAGAGCATTAAGTTGCAAATGGGAACAAACATCAAGTTAAACTGTAGCATCTGCACATAGCTGTGAATGACAGTGGAAGGGTAGTAATTGTGTTTCGGGTTCTAATTGTCATGTGTAACTTTTCTACGTTGAAAAGATTTGTAACAATGTTGCCAAATTCTGTAGGTTATGCGATATTTTGTAGTGGTCATTATACAATCTTTATAACACTTAGATTTAACATCTGATTGATGAAGTCAGAATTAGCATAGATAAGTAAAAAATGCATGTACTGTGTGTTATTCTGTGAAATGAATGTCATCATTAGAATAGAATGAGTGGAATGTGTGAAGTGGAAAAGCAATAAGCAATAATGTAAGAGTGACGTGATAATATGATTAGAAAAATTTAAGTATAGTTTAAAGTTAACAAAATATGTTGCAACAATCGTGATAATTATCTAACAGGTGCTGGAAAATAGTGTTCTTAATGATAGATAACAACTAGTTAGATTGAACCAGTGATATGGATAGGTAGCTCTTTAATGTCGAAGCAACTTCAGATATCAAGATGTGTGTCAAACACACACAATTACAGAGTAGTTTACCCTTTGAGGGGACTGGCAAATCAAAATTGTATTATCTTATACTTAAATTTTTCTGACAATGAATGATGTGCAGATATGTCACATATGATGCAAAATAAGATATACAGCCAGTCGTATATGATTTAAATTATTATCATTTATCATGTAAAGGAATCTAAGATTTCCTTATTAATGCGTAATCAAATTCTAAGGTATCTTCGTTTTATAACATTCTTTTGATGCCTCAGTTGAGGAATTGGTGGCATAATAGAGACCACAGACTTGTATCAAAAACCATTTTTAAACTCATAAAAAAAACAAAGCATCCAGGTGCATAATAACAACAGCTTCAACAAGGTTGCTTTACCAAGATTAACTTCACAAAACATTTTAAATTTTGTATTCTGAAGTCATTTCAGAAACATCTAATTATTATAGTTACAAATATCATCATTAAATTTCTTAAAAAAACGAATATATGAGTAATATTCTTTACATCTTGTAACTATAATTACATTCAAAATGAGTAAGGGAAATATTCTGCACAAAAGTTATAACAACATTTTTAATATATTTAAACAAAAAGTACCATTCAATATCTCATTAATTTTTCCTATTACTTCATTCACAAATTAAAAAGGTATATTTCTGTAGCATGGATATTTGGCTTGAGAGGAAATGTGTGTGTGTGTGTGTGTGTGTGTGCATGCATGTGCATATGAGCATCATTTTCTCCTATACTGTGAAAAAGTTTGTCACTTACCTATGATATTGATGTCAGAAGATATACAAACATACACAACTCATTAACAGTGTTCTAAAAAGGAACACCATTTCCTTGTAGTTCCAAATATCAGCCAAATATGAGAAAGAAGTGCAATTCATAAGACCTCTGTTTAATGTTGTAAAGGCAGAAACACAGAAAGGATTAAGGTTTTCTTTGTATATGACTTTGTGAGAGTTGAGAAAAAGCAGTGTAGTATTAAACTACCATACTGTCATGAGGTATTCATTTTAAAGTTAAATTTGAATTATACTGGCAGTGACATGTTTTCAACAAGTATCATTCTGCACTTAGAATTTATTCAACTGTGTAAAAGTCTGTATAAATGGAGATAAGAATAATTGTTTTTATATTTCTACAAATTCTAAGAAATGCAATGACCCAGTAATTTTAATGGATTTATAATACATTGTACAGTATATAATAAAGTGAAGCATTTGTAATGAAGGTCTTATGTAACACCATACAATGTGTATTAAACATACTATGACATGTGCAGATATTAATAATAAATAATATATAGTATTGTATATGCACTGTGTTTATTACTTACTGTATCACAGGCACACTTTGTATTTCAGGTTTTTATCTCTTAAAATTTCTACACTGATTCAAGCTTCAAACTCATTACTTGATTTACACATTATGAAACGAAAGTGGGTCCCTTGTCATCACGATGTGGAAAATCATCAGGCTGAGGATGGCCGAATCAGCCTCCAGATATGGAGGGTAGCTGCGATTACACTGAATAGTTGTGGACAGCCGACAAGGGGTGGTCCAACAGCCCAGGGTTTGGGCATGGGGCTAACAACTTACCATGAAAAGCATCTTGTTAGACATTGTTATACAGGCTTCAGACTTAGATGGAGTCTTTAGATTGACCTAAGCAATGGAAAATGGATATGAGATTTGGCACATGGCATCTAAGGAGTCTATATGGCAGGTTCACTGACAGCAGTTGCAAGAGAAACATAGAAGTATAAGTTGGATTTAGTGGGAATGCAGGAGGTTATGGAACAGGGGTGGCAGTGAACCAGCAGGCAATTCTACATTCTTCTATGGAAATGGGAATGAGAATCATACACTTGGGCAAGATTTTTGTACGTGTACATAAGAGAATTATGTCAGCAGTTAAAAAGGCAGAGTTTGTCAGTGACAGGGTATACCTGATGCCTAATATTTCAAGGGAGTGTACTGTGATTCCAAAATTTATGGAGAGACTGACTAGAAGTAAGCTAGAAACACTAAAGTTTGATACAGAAAATTCAATATCAAGGCACTAAATAATATAGAATTCACTTGAAGGATAGGGAAGATGGGCCTACATCTGACCATCTGTACCCAGAATGAAACCACAATTTTTTTTTTAATATATTCATATCTCCATTCATTTGGGAATCATACTCCTAGACCAGGGATGGCAAAACATTGGCACCTGTTCTAAGTTAGCCACGAACAGATACATTGGCTGGCCTACATTAACAGCTGAAGCCACTTGATAAATTAAAGAGTTCACTACTGATTCATCCTGAATTCCAAGAAGTAATTTGCAGTTATGAGAAAGATAGCTCTAAGGAACACAAAGCTTATTTTGAATGGTCAAATACATCAAATTTAAGAAGACTATCAAAGGAAATGAATGCAATTTGTGTCACTCTCAAAAGCACAGACAAGAACTAAGGAATTCATTAAAGAATGTACAGCAACAGAAATCTGATGAAGTACTGGGAGAGTTGGCACCATTTCTTATTAGTAAGCAGCTTTTCGCAAAAATCTTGCACCAGA